GGATGAGAGACGACTGGTGTCCACCTGAGATTGGAGAGACTGAGAGAATGAGGGACTGAGAGAATGAGGGAATGAGAGGATGAGAGACTTGAGAGACTTGAGAGAGAGAGAATTTAGAAGAGGATCGGTGGGGATAAAGGTAGATCGCGGATTGAGTCATTATGCTTGGGGAGGAGCTGGAGACCACAGGCCTCGATCCCTTGGCTTAAAGAAAACCGACCGCATGATACTCCAACGTACATTCAGATGGACATTGAGTGGTCATCCAGTTGTCGTATTTCGTTGTCCCTCCATTTCCCTCTCGATTATTCTAAACAAAAATTTCCACCATTGAATTTGCCGGTTGTTTTACTTACGTCGTTAAATCCCCGATGCTCTTTCAGGGCGCATGAGGTGGAGATTAAGACGTTACCCAGGTCTTTAAAATGGTATCGACGAGCTCAAGTGTCTTCGAGCACTTCAACCACTGATAAGAAATATATCTCCCTTGAATTTCTACCACCAATAAATTCCTCGTTATTCATTTGGAAACTAGTTTTATACCCGCATGCGACGCGATAAATGAAAAATAAAATGAGAATGAAAAAATATGGATAAACCAGTCGCCGATGGATTTTTCGTTGTTGTTTTTTTTTTTAAATTTCTCGTCGTGATGTGGGTTACGCGGATGGATCGACGGGATGCCGACGGGGATCGATAGCTCTGGAGCAAATGACAAGTCATTTTTAGTTTTTATTTCGTTCTGTGACTGGGCAGAATGGAGAAAACCCATCGAAAAGGAATTAGTAGGTGTCTGAAGTCGTGATGACCTGGGGATCTTGAGATGTTGATGGAAATACACCTGCGGTTGTCTCGTATTTTGTGAAAAAACGTTTTGGTGCAAATTAGTGGGACGTACTGGGGGGGATTTTAAGGGGAGGTATAAAGGGGCCGCAGGTTATACGAGACCTAGAGATTGGGAGAAAACAGTAGGGAAGACCAACTGAAAGAGTCGTTAGCCAAACTAGCTGCACGTCTCAGAGGCACACGCAGGTGTTTAGCTCTCGGCATCCATTTTTTATGGTTCACCTGATTTCTACATCCTCATTTAGTTTATCTCCCTCCTGGCCACCCCCTCCCCTAAATCACCCCTTCATCACCCCTTCATCACCCCTTCATCACCCCTTCATCTCCCCTTCATCTCCCCTTCGATAGCCCCTGATTTTGAGTCCTTCCCCCCCCTTCAGTAACTAACGAGAAGATGGCGAAAAGTTGAAATACCTTTGTTGTTATCCGGATTATTGCCAAAAATTCCCAGAACGTTGGGTATCTCCAACACGTGGTGTCCCTGTACTCTTTCCCATAATGCAATTAAACCCATACCAATTGCTGGGACGGGTCTTGCTTCGGGGGTATGTAGGGAAGTTCTCGTCAGGATTCAACAAGACAGGAATCGCACCTCCGAGTTTTACTGCGCTTCTAAGGAATTTACGAGTCTCTTTTAGCTTCAACTCCACTCATTCCGTACGTTAGGAATACGCGGGCAAGTGAATACCATTGGGGGAGTATTTCAATATTTTCAGGGGTAAAATACTTGGGAACGTGAATGGCAGGTGAAAGTTGCGGTGAATTCATTGGAAGTTGGTGAAAAGTTCGAGTTTGGAATTGCGATTTTTGTTGCTTAATTATCTGGTACGGTTTAATCCGAAGTAATTAGTACGAATTAGGTTCTCGTCCAGTTTTAATAATTAATACTTATTAACATTGAAACCTGAAGGTTTAATTGGTGAAGGAAAGAAAGTGATAAATTCCATTGATTAAAATTATAATTAATATTTAATAGCGGAATAAAACCAATCGGTGACAGAGAATGGATTATTGATTGATTAAATTATTGAATGAATAAAATCGATGAATAAAGTTGATTAAAATTATCATTCCACGATTTAATTAAATATCCATTTATATTCTATTTTAAAGAAAGTCAGATGACTTTGCTATTCGAAAAATTAATTATTAATTCGATTAATTGTTAAATGGAGCAAATCTACGAATTAAATCATTCACAATTTAAATGAACTACAATAATATACACTAATATACAATAATATACAATAATATACAATAATAATAATATAACGTAACATATATTATTATATTTCAATTAGATTTGTTTATTTGTTTTTTTTTTTCAATTTCAAGGAGCATAAGATGAGATTCTCGATTTTTTCTTCACCAGAAAAAAAGAAAATTCGGAAAATCCGTTCGTGCAATTTAAATTTTATTCACAGAATTTTTTTTTTTTTCTCATTGAAAGGGGATGGGGGGAGGGCATTCCGTCCACATGTGAATTTCAATGTCCATGCAAACGGCGGCCAGTACGGCTGTCAATTATCCATTATATACGGCCCCAGGGACCGCTCAAACTCATCCCTTTAACGACCTCTCAAACCCGAATCGCGCGTCCACCAAAAGTGAGGCAGACAGCTAAGAAAAGGGAGGGTATAAAGGAGGAAAATAAAGTATTATAAAAGGGTGAAGGTGAAAGGAATCAACCTGACGAAAAGACAGGGATTGTGCATGTGTTTCGAGAATTAAATCAAATTCCCCGTCGAAGATCGACACATTGTTCTACCCGAATATTTCACTTTTTATTTTTTATTTCTCTGGCCCTCAGGTTATCCTCGTTCAGCGACTCAGATTATTATACCAATTATATAATTATGTAATCTTTATATAATTCTCCCTCGGTACTCCATAATATCAATTAAGTCTCACTAATGGAAATTCTACACGTCAAATTTACTCAAAGCTATTTTAATATTAAATAAATTTTAAGATTAAATTCTTTATTCAATCCACACTAATTGTTCCAAAAACTAATCATTTTTCCATCGAATAATTAATTTAGTATGGAATTTTATATCGTTAGCATTAATGATTGGTAAAAAATTTTCATTTTTGTTGAATTTATTATTGATTAAGCATTTATTAATTATTTATAGCGTCGATAATTTGTATTGGTTTTATTTAATCACTTCATCTACTGTTTCCTGATCTTCATGTTATTATTTTAATAATAACACAAATCGTTAGTTTATCCTACATCCTTTTTCCGGAATTTCTCAACATCCACATGTGCCAGAACCGTAAAATTTTATACGACGGTTTGAGCTATTATTTTTTCAACTCTCATTTTTTTTATTTGGTACATGTGAACCTGAGCATCGTAAAAGTCAACACGCAATAATTATAAATGAAGCTTGGGGATAACAAGGACGAGGGCAAATTCTTCCTCGTTATTTCTCATCGGCCAGACGTCACAAATCAAACGTTGAAAACTCTCTAACTCATGGTGAGGGGGGCCAGGGGGCACCCCAGGGGGTTGCATAAGTCCCAAGAAATTCTTGACAACCAGATGTCTCCAGAATTTTGCCCCTTTTTTTTTTCTCATCTGACAGGAGTAATCAAGGATTAATGCACTCAATTGTCATCATCAATTGTTTTTATTTGGCTAGGGGAGATATTTTCATGTGAATATGATACTCATATCCACATGTCTCGCTGTGACGTTGATGAATAACAAAAAAAACGTACATGCGAATGCGTGTGCAATGTGCAGAGTCATTCGATTCCAATGTATGAAGAAGTGAAAATTGTCTGCATCGACGATGCCAACAACAGGTCTTTAATTACACTGATATCACGGTAATTAAGCCGATCAATGCTTGCCATTGTGAAAGATATATGCGTCTGCGTACTCTAACTATTTTCTCTCTGCACTTAAGGTTTCACACAGGCGCCTTGAAATGACACTATAAAAGGAGACGAGTCGATTCAAAATGAGAGGAGGCATGAGTAAAAAAAATAATAATGTCAAAACTTGCTGGTCACCTCTCATTCGAATCGATCAACGTAAACAGTGACTCTGAAGTACTGAAATTTCGCTAGTATTATCATCTCATCAGATCTTGATGGAATCATCGTTACGGAGAATTATGAAAAAAATTGCGATTATGTCGGTGCGAGTAATTTTTTTATCAATATTTATCAATCAATTGATTATTCACTTCAAGAGCGAGAGGTGAAGAAAAACCCCGAATTTTATAGATTCGTTTAATTTTGATTATCTATGAAAGTATTGATTTTAGGATAAACTATCAAGAGACCTTTCTTGTGGGGAATTTTATCAGCTCCGAAAAAGTCCTCTAGTACTTCCACGATATATCGATAGTTTTCGAGTTATATCGATATTTAAGGTGCGCGGTAAAGTCGACTGATTTAGCTTTACCAATTTTTCGGTTGAATTGAAATTAATTTCAATAATGTCGATTGTTATAAGAAGTTCGAGCAGTTTCTGGCAGGATTTTCAATGAACCTCCTTGCTCTTTATCCTGGATCACTTTTTTTTGTCATCGCGTCAAGGTGACAATGAAATACCCGTTAAACTTTCTCTCCATCACTCCCGCGAGACATTTCAATTATAGTTTAGTTAGCACGATAAAAACCTAAAAGATGCTGAATGATTAACTGTTCCACATGTTGCCTGTAACCACGAGTTTTTACCTCTTCTTTTACCTCATCTTCCTTTTTCGAGATACATTTTACGACGTGCCGTTGAAGTTTTGTAAACTCCAGTTGAAGAACATTTCCTCTGAATTTCAGTGTTTGCCCCGAGCATTTGGGACACGTTGAGAATCAGGAACTCCTAGCTCTGTACTTTTTTTTTGCCGTTATGAGTGAATATGTTGAACCCTCCATTAGATGGATGTTTGTTCAGGACACGGTGTTGGCTTTTTAATGAAAAAAAAAAACGAAAGAAAGAAAGAGTCGGAAAAAAGTAAAGTAAATAGCATGTTTGACTTTAAAGTCATTCAAACATTTCAGGACACCATTCCCAAATTCGTGTCAACGCACTCCGTGTTTATTATGTTTATGAATTTTTATGACTGTTTATGAGTTAAATCGAATGACTTCCTGCAATGGAATAGCGTAAACACGTGATTATTTTTATTTTCCAGATGACAGCTGCAGGATCAACTTCAAATCCCCCAGTCAGTCCAAATGACGACATCAACTGGTTCGCTGGTATTGCTGAGGAGGAACTACTGTATTACACTAGTAATGATGTTGACTCCCTCTGGGCTGTCATTGGCAGCTTTGTTCCACCTCCACCACGACCCCCTTATCTCCCTGAAGAGGGCATCTCCACAGATGGTCTCACTACCTGTGATCTTTGTACCTGGGCACTGCGTAATGACAGGCACTTATCGTTTTCCCTGGATGGCACACTCGGTGAGTTACTCAAAACCCCTCATTCAATCATCATGACAATGTAATTCTATCCATGAGAAACACAGGGCTATCCCTCTGGGGGGGCTAAAAGTTTCATCTCTAGGGCTGACACTTGAACCTTTAGGTCTTTCTCATTTTGTTTGGATAACAAACTCTCGAGGACCACTTGGAGAACGTCGAGATTTTTCTGTATCAAACTCTTAAAGCCTCTCTATTGTCGATTTAAATCGGCTGACATATGACTTTTAAATTATAATGTAGTTTTGAGGATGTGGGAATTTTAGGGAGAATTAATTGAACATTTTTGGGAAGTCTGTGGTGAAATGATTGATTATGGTTTAGATAAGAAAGTTTTTCGGGGGTTTTCTGAAAATATCCACGGAAATAAGGGATGTGGCGATATTTTTGTAGGGGCTTTTTTTGTCGGTGGTGATTAGCTCTGCAAAAAGTATTTCTATCAGAATTTTGATATCTTCTTTTATTTCGGAGATATTACAGAAAAAATCCCGGAGTTTTACTATTATACCAGAGAATTACTCCATTTCGGTGATTGATAGTTTAACAAATTTATTCACTGTACACAATATTGTACGAACCAGAATCCCCAAGTCATAAAACCAAGAAAAAGATCTGATCAAACATAAAATTTAGTGAATACTGCGATAAATTCTATCGAATTTATAAAATAAATTAACGATTTAATGACAAGAGCGAACAGCAAACGCGAAGTTTTAAATAGAGAGAGATAAAGAATTAAAATGAGACATAAAATTGAAAAAAAAAAGACTTTAGAATTAGACAAGCACAAAAAGTTAGAATTCAGGGATAATTTGTGGGAATAGGCGTGAATTTTTTGTCGTGCGGAACTGTCAAATTATAAATCAAACACTGAGATAAGAATTTTAGAGAGAGCGGAAGGTATATTCGTATTTACTCCAGTCATAGGCATGAGTTTTGTGGTATGGAAGGGAGTGTGTGGTACCACATCCGGTATTTCTTCGACCAATGATGGTGCGTGTTGGTACCACTATGGCGGAATCCAACTTAGCACCCGTTGTTTCCGCTCGTTTCGCAGCCCCACCTACTGATTCTCCTTTTGTGTATGTCATTCTTTTTTTTTTTTCTTCACTTTTTTAACATCACGCCCATTCCCTGATGAACGTCCAACACACCTCTCCATCCATGTACTTTGCACTCTCATTTGTTCGTCTCAGTTTCACGAGTTTATCAGGTTTATGTCTCATTTAGAACTAAAATAGTTCTCGTCAGGGCCCATAAGATGCGTCTGGCCGACAAAATTTATTATGCGTGAATGGAATTATCTGATTTATTTGTTTTACATGGAAAACAAGGGTTTAGGTGGTAATTGCAACCATTGGAATACTAAATCGCGGTCTGTTTTATTCCTTCAGTAAATACGGATTTATCTGAGAAACTATTGATTTTAGGAAAAAAAGTTAAAAGACATTTTTGGTCGGGAATTTCATGAGCTATGAAAAAGGTCATATGAAATTTCCACGTTTAATCGATAGGTGCTTAGATATATCGGTTATTAAGAAAAATATTGAATTCGAGTCATTCGCTTTCGTATTGCGATGATAATTGATATAATTCTTCATAAAAATTTGGTGGACAGTCTTGAGGAGGGAATTTATTACCTCATGGTAATTATTACCGGTTAATTTTTTCGTCGTAGGAAACATAAATTTTCTAATGCTCACTAAGATAAAACAGAAAGATCGTGCCGTTCTAGTTAGTAGTTCTGAGAGTTCACAAGATGCGTCTTGCGATAATTTATTACGCGTGAATCTAATTACGTGATTTATTTGTTTTACACGCAATACCGCGCCAGGGATATCAAGTCACAATTTATGAGTCGCGAATTATTATAATTCCCGCGAGGAACGACGAGCCCTCAAATGACAAGATTTAGAGATTTGCGGCGGTTCTCTTTCATATTTCCTCTTAAAAAAAAGCATGAAACATTTTTTCTCAGTTTTTTTCGGCGTATACCTAAACTATATATATATCAAAATAATATATAATATATATACATATATATATAAATGAAAATATTTATAACTTAAGCTTTAGATAATTGTATTAAATTATTTAAAATTCAACTCAATTATCTCAAATTTTCCAATATTGAAAATTTCCGAAGGGTCATAAAATTTCTATAATTGTTTAAATTTCCTTGTCCTAGAATCTAGTGAATTATTCTTGTAGACTGCGAATTATTTTTACGTGGTACTTCCTCGGTTGGATAATTATTGCTGGCTAATTCTTTGGGATAATCGTAGGAAGCATAAATTATCCTGGGTTGGGTTAAAAAATCTATAATCACATCTCTAAATCAAAGCACTAGACTCACCACGTGGAAAAAGCACAGTACAATGTTGCCGAATGGGAGAATGGAAATAAGATAAGTCGGCAAGTGCTCTTGAGGGTAGAACGTAGCAATCATCGCGTCACTCCTCAGATGTGGACTCACGCTGGAATAATTATAAGATCACACCTCAAGCAAGAGGTTGCATCTCTTCATATAACTCGTTCACGTGTCTCTCTCAATCTCTCTCTTGATCTTGCGGTATATTTACCCCCTGGGAATGAAAAAATATTCAAATCGTCCGATACCGCATAACGCAATCCCTCAAATCACGTGAAATTAAAAAAAAAATAAATAAAACCAAAAAATGAAAATATACACGATATTATATAATTCTGATATACCATTCGTATACAATAATATATCGATTTTCATATATTTCGGGATGTATATCAAATATATATTTTTGATACATAGTTTGTATATGTGAATATATTTGTAAATATATTACATATAACGTGATATATGATATATATCATGTATCCAAGACCACATATATACTTTCCGTATATACAAATTTCAACGGTGTCCCCCCCTTTTGAAGAAATTGAAAAGAAAATCGAGATAATGAAGCACTTTAAGCCGAAAATAAATTTATCATCTCTTATCCCAGCCACTCGTCTTTTTTCTTCACCTCTCTTGTTTATTTTCGTTATGGGAATTCAGTAAGCGAAAATTTGCCGTACCTGTGTGTTGTCTCTCGTGATTCTTATCTGGTACCTGCCGAAGCTTGTATATCGTTAGAGAAAACCACTCAGGGCGAAGAGAGAGAGATAGAGACGGGAGAAAAAAAAATGTTTAAATAAAAAGGGAAAAACAAAAGAGGGGCAAATGGGGGGG